GCGGACTGACCAGAACGCCTGCCACCACGATTCCGCAGACATTAAGCATTTGCGTCACCACAAAGGCTAGCTGGTATCCGATGATCGAATCCACGGAATTAAAGTCGGATGTAAAACGGTTCAAGATCCGACCCAGCGGTACAGTATCCAGCCAGCGCATGGGAGCACGGAGCACGGCGTATGTCAGGCGGTTGAAGAGATTGCGGGCTGCGCGGACACTCATCGAGAGGATCAAGTAGAAGCGCAGGGTGCCCATCACGCATGCAAGCACACTGACTGCGATATAGATCCCTAGGTACATCTTGAGGTCTGAGTCTATGGGTGCTGTGTTGACATTCGATATAGGCTGTTGCCACATAACCATGCTGTACTGTTTGAGGCTGGCATGGGTCTGCGATGACGATGACGAGCCAGTCCACACGTTAATCCACCACGACTATGGTTGTGAGAAATGTCAGTCAGTCCAAGTCCGATGGCATATACTGATGTTTAAGAAGGTGCGTGTTGATGCTTACCCTGCCGACCAAGAAGGAAGTGTAACCGAGAAATACAATCGCCGTGATGTACCATCGAAGTCTGTGGCCGCCGATAGAGAAATAGGCCTTGTAAACTGAAAATCGGACAGAGCCAACCTCTCGCTTTTCGTCCTCGACAAACTTCTTCGCCGCAGCCGGCTTGGCTGTCGTCTCCTGCTGTACAGTACTAAGCCGCCGATGGGAAGTATGGGAGATTACCTGTTCAACGGATTCCTCTTCGATGAGCGCTATCTCATCACCGCCATCCCCCCCATTTAGAGGGTGCCCTGGGTGATTTGAGCGTTTGTCCTCAGTGACCGGGCCAGCATAGCGAACGTTTCCATCTTCCAATTCCACCCAATAGTCCGCGCGAGAAAGACACAGGCCAACATGATGCGTCACCAGAATGCGCGTTCTGCCCCGGCAAAGCTCACCGGTGAGTGCGTTTTCGTAGACATAACGCCCGGTATGAGCATCTAAAGCACTGAAAATATCGTCCATGATAAGGATGCCCGCACGCGAATACAAGGCGCGTGCAAACGAGACTCGCCATCGCTGGCCACCACTAAGATTGACCCCGTTCGCTCCGATATCGGTCAGATCGCCATCGGGCAACATCTCCAGGTCCTTCTGCAGCGCGCACGCAGAGATAGTCTTCCGGTAACGCTTTTCATCGTAGGGCAGTCCGAACAAGATATTATCCTTGATTGTTGCGTTCTCAATCCATGGGATTTGAGCGACATAGGCAATGGCTGAATCGATGATCCAATCGGCACTCGTGGCCCGATGATCGAACCGAGCTTCAATGGAAGGTGGTACAGGCACATGTACTGTTCCCTGAAGCAAGTCACCTTCCCCAAGGATCGAAGCCAGGAGTAGACTTTTGCCAGACCCTGTGCGACCCGACACGATACTGAGGCCCTGGTTGGGAAAGGCAAGGTCGAGATTGCGTAGGACAAAGCGATCGGTGTCCTCTGCGGTTCCAGCTTCCTGCTCCGATGGCCATGCGACCGAGGCATCCTTGAACGCGACTTCATCGGCGGGCATGGTAGTAATCACCCTTTCGGATGAGGCCATGTAGGTATCGATTCGGTCCGCGCTGACCTTGGCCTCCAGGCCCTGGGAGATGATCTCGGGCAAGATGGCAAGGGAAAGCTCGAGGGAACTGAAGACGGACATGGCAGTAAATGCGACCGAGGCAGAGAGGCCACCATGGAGCATGGCATAGACTGTCAACGAGACTGCAGAGAGGCCAATGGGCCCAAGGATCCAGATGCCCATCAGAATGATGTCGAAAAAGAACGACCTCCACAGAGCGCTCAATTCTTTCTCTCGCGCCTCCCGGATCCGGGCTTCCCACTGTGCTTCGAGGCCCGAGAACTTGATCTGGCGAATTCCCTGGAGTACCTCTGTGACAATGGCCAGCTTCTGATCTCTCATCTTCATGAGCTTGACCTGAGCGCCCGTGTAGCGTTTGGCTGCGAAGGAGTTCAAAGGTGTGACCAAGACCGCAACAGCGATGCCGGACAGAGCGCTGCGCCATCCTAGGATTTTGATCAAGAAGCCACACCCGAGAATTAGCTTGAAGATGGAGGATGGGATGAGGTAGGCAAATGTGGTGAATTGAGTGATGCGTCTTCCGTCGACGGCGGCCAGGTTGATAATGCTCTGTCGCGTCTTTTTCACGGCCGCCTCATCATCGAGCTCCTCCTCTTCCTCCTTGGTCCCCGATCCAGCTTCTGTTGTGCTTTCCGCATTGGACTTTTCTTTCGACTTTTGGACGTTCTTGACGTCTTTGCGACGCATCGACTTGGCGAAAACTAGGGCTGAGATCTCCGCATAGATGGGAATGAAGAGCTTCGCACATACCACCCATAACAGCCAAGCCTCAAACAGCGAATAGATAATCATCAGGGATCCCAGGCCGACAATCCAGGATGTTGCCCGCAGCGGGTCCCAGTCGCCGCTTCCTCGGGCCTCCAAGGCTTCTAGGATATTGAGAAGCGCCATCTGTGGGCCGATGCTCAAAAGACCCACCAGCAGAGTGAGAAGCAGGGTCGAGAGTATCGCTGGCCAGTGCGCCCGGACGATAGCTTGCCATGTCTTGCGAGACTGCTTGGCTTGCTCAAAGCGAGGATGAAGGGTTTCTGCTCGTGTCTGGGCTCGAAGCTTAGGCAAATCCGTGAGGGCCAGCGTGCGGTTCTTCGCGGTGTAGTTGAGCAGGCCACTGGCCCAGGCGAATGAATATCGGCTGAATGCGGATCCCGAGAATTCTCTGTCGATCAAAATACCGTCGTGAAAGACATCCGGGCGACGGGGAAGCAGGATGCTGGCCAACGCTCTTAGAACAGCACTTGCAAGCTGAACGGTGGTCAGACTGAGCCACAATTCATCGTCCGTGATACTATTGCGAAACAGATCATTGCTGTAAAGCTCGAAGCCGACGGCAAGGATCGTGAAGAGGCTACCCAGGAAGGCGAAATGACCCAGAGTGTATCGTTCCGTCGATTTGGGCTCGACGAAGAAAACGGCTCCTTGGAAAAGAAGCAGTAGCTAAGATACAGGACATTAGCTGCCAAACCGAGCCAATATCACGTCTTCCCCAAGTTTGTGGTGTGTACAAACCCAAATGGCGAACTGAAGCCACGCGAAGAGCGGGTTCTTCGTGTGGGAGTTCAGTGTGGTCAAGATTGCAATTCCCAGTGTCGCAAGAAGCCCAGTCGAAGAAAACAGGATGATGGCGGCACGCTGCCAGGTATCCGAGAACTTGAGAAGCGATTCCTCCGTCGCCACACCGTCCTCGTCATGATAAGCGGCCTTTTCGGTGGCGGGGTCATCTCGCTCGGTTAGGGTACGGCGGGTGCGCGCAGCGATGCTCTTCACGGCCGGAATACTGCTGAGGGTCGTTAACACGAGGGCCACGGAGCCTATGGTTAAGGCTTGGGAGTTATGCGAGAGCATCTTTGGTGTGCCCTCTCGCTGGGGAGATGCGAGAACAAGACATAAGACGGAAGAAAAAAAAAAAAAAAGAACGAACTCAGAAGCAAAAGGCCGAAAAGGCTGCAAGACCTTATTGAATACGTCTTGGCCGGGTCTAATGGCGCAAAGTCTTGTCTAGTCTTGTCTGGTGGTGGCTGACTCTCCGGCTGACTCAGAAGCAAGGATGGATTGCGAGCATTACGCAACTAGCGACTTAAGCGCTGACAAGATAAGGGCGGTGCCCAATCAGCTCAGAATCCTTCATACATTAAAATGCATTGATTTGGATGCAGGATTTGATAGGCCGTGGGTCCGAGTCTGCCGTTGTTCTGGCCATTTTCGTTGCGATTGACTCATAGGTTTTCAATCTATGCTCATGCGCACAGAGCGGTACTGCCCCCACAGTTTCCCCGTCGGAGGTCCGGGGGAGTCGATCCTCACACCGCCGTCTGTATAGCTTCCTCACTAAAAGGCCATATGCAAGTATTTGGCTAGCTGCTCGTATTTTCAGCACCGACTTCATGCCGGTATGAGCCAGAATGACTCAGAATATTTGGCTCTGGTCCTTCTCTTTCCTCGTCAGGTGATCAAACGTGCACTGCCTTCCTTCCCATTGGTCGCAGATTACCAACATTGCCAACTTAATGTACCTCGGGGTTGCTACTCACCCCTATGCTACTTACCTTGCAAATCAAAATTAGAACAGGGTCCTGAACAATGACCTGATGATGTGCGAGCTTCTTGCCTCATTGATATTGATTCTGATCCCGTTCTAGATGCCTACACTCTCCGCTCACCTCGACAGCTTATCTTGCCAGACTCCCATCATTTTCCTTCTCGAAAGACGTGCCGAGAGTTCTTCGAATTCTTGAAACTCATTGGCCTTGTAGAGGGTAACAAGTCTCCTTTGACAAGCCTTTCTGTCTGCAGGCCTGTCAGATCAATTTCGTTGTCAACGCATGTTTGATATTCTGTGGAGTTATCTGAACGTGAGAGCGATAGGATGTCGTGCACCGCCACTGCGGCAGCTGTAAGCTCAAAAGCACCAAACGCATCAGATCGAACCGAAGGAAGTGTTATTAGCACTTGAAGCTTCTCACTTTCCGGTGGTCGACGGTCGACGGTGGCAGTGACTGTTCGGATGGTCCCAGAAAAAGCGGGGTGAGATGGCACATGGCGCAGTGGGGCTTGACGGGATCCAAATGTAGTTTAGTGCGGGGTCCTGCACAGCACGAGCCTAGTTTAAAAATAATTTGTTTACCAGGTACGCATGTAGATTACCGAGTATAAGATTTCGAATCACATCAGAAGAGTCTGTGTAGCTATCAAACACTGAGCACCTTACGTCTGGCCTATCTCATTTGCAATACTTTTGCGTCGCATTTACAGATGGAAAGAAGACGTTGACTGAAAATGTGTTCTTGTTCACATTTATATAGTAATCTAAGATAGTCACAAAGCACAACTATCCAGAAAGTATCGGAGAAGTTGGAGGAAACATAGGCATCACGGCGATGACGTGTTCTGGCTAAGCCACTCTCTTTGAGCTGCCAACTTGTAGAATGTCAATCGCTTCTCGATGTCTGCCTTGTCCTTTGCATCTTCGAAATAATTGTTCGATGGATCACCTATTGCTCGAAGAATCAGGGACCTGGGATCCTGAAAGTGGTAGAATCGAACGAGAACTCCGTTCGCGATGACGCCGCGGCGCCTACTCCAAGGGGTCTCGCCCAGGGCCATCATTTGTTGGAAGAGGCTATGTTCTAGTTCTTGCCAGGAGCCCGGGTTGGCCACCATGAACACAAGGAAGGGTCCCCGTTGGTGCGAGATCATGAGTTTCTGGTAGGGGGACCACACTTCCCACTCGCTAGGGGTAGGCCTGGGGCTCTCGATACTCACGTCAAAGCCCTCGTGTGAAAGGAATATCTGGCCCAGGCACTGCGCCCAGTAACCCAGCTTCTCGATTGTCTCGGCCATGATGGTCAGTGGGTATGGTATCAGTGAGTATGATATGAACGGGGACAATATCACTCAGAAAGGATAGTATCAGGGTGGTATAGCTCAGAAAGGGATAGCCCAGGATGGTTGGTGTCAGTCAAGATGATATGGGTCAGGATGATATCAAATGTTTGGAAAGGATTGGATTTGCGTGAGAATCTATAGATGCCGGAATTTTTACTAAGTATTTATGTCAGTCCGGTGGTAGACGGTGGAATCTTTTAGAATTGGTAGTACTGTGAACCGGGAGATACCGGCTATCTGGTTATACTATGAGAGTGTGGAAGGAGAAAACCGTGTGTAGGTATGAAAGACATCGAGTCACCTCCCCTCATGCCTGGGATCTCCATTATCGCTAGCTCACTTGAAAGCCAAATCACCGTGCTGCTCACTAGTCACTCAGTTTCGATGCTGATGTCCGATGACTTGCTTAAACTTTTCCAGGAGATTGACCTTAACTGATGGAAATAAGGGAGATCTCCCGAGGCAAGCCCCACCAGTGCCATATTGAATGAACACATAGCAATGCCCCACTATGAACAGCAAGGCTGATAGCAGATGCCCCTCATAGCAACGTCGGCGCAGAAGCTCGACGTGAAGCGAGCTGGTCTTCCCATGAAAGGCATTGAGGGCTTTGGGCTTGGGCTTTGGGGCTCGGTTGGACCATGGTTTCTGTGAGAGGAAATGTATGTGTGTGTATTGGATAAATCTACGGCTACGTGGCTCTTCCTCCGAGAAGTAGTAAGATCCGAGATTATATAACCCCCATCTGTTATACTTTCTATAAACAAAAAGATTGCTACTAAAATATATATAAAAAAAAAAGATATAAGACTGCTTATATTTCCGAAATAAAAAATAAATAAACTATAAAAATAGAAATATTAGATAAGATCTACTATATTAAGCTGTTTAATAAAATAAGAATAAATAAAATATTTAAGAGGCTTTATAAGGCCGTCGGCTGCTTAATTTATTATATTAATATAAATAAACTTAATATTTTTAGTACGTACTTTACACAGTATAAAATACTATTTAATAAATATATATTTAGTTCTCGCGTAGAATTCGGAATTTTTAGTCAGAATAATAGCGGATTAGTTATCTGTATAAATTATAATAGGCTTAATTATTAATATAAATATAATCTTAAAATATTAGATATCTAATTTAGTAAACAGAAATTAAAGCTAAAAAAGTTTTTAAATTATAACAGTCTAAATAATATACTTACTTTCGGTAGAAAATAATATAATAACAGTCTATTTTTTTAAATTTTAAAAAACAGGTTTATTAGTAAGCTGGAAGATATAGCCTAAAATTAATATAATATTAAAAATATAAAAACTAGTCTAGTTAGTATTATAATAACTAATAAAACTAAAATCTTTATATTTATAAAAAAAATAGCAGTTTAGCAAGCCTGTAAGATAATATTAGACAAGATTTATAACTTAAAAATAAGACTTATTAGAATTTGCCGCGAAGAATAATAACTTACTAATTATATACGTAATATTAAGGCGTATATTAAATATAATTTATATTAAAATATTATTATATTTTTAATACAACTTAATATTGTTCGGCTGGGCGGTTTCTGCATACTTAAATAAAAAGTTTTTATAATTAAATAATATAAAAAAGACTTTATATATTAATATACTAAAATACTTTAGATACTTTTTAATATATAACTTCTGCAAGAGATATATACCGTTATTAGTTTATATAATATTAATACTAAGAAAGTAAGTACAGAGACTATTATTAATAAATTTAATAAAACTATTCAGCAGGTTTTTAAAAGTATTAATTACAAAGATATCTAGTACTAAAAATAAAATATTATTAATATAAACAAGTATATAAAGATCTTTTCCGACAAATATAAAGTAGTCTGTATAAAAATACTTAAAACTATTTACAGTAAAAAAATTATAAAATATATTATACTATTTATACAGTGTCTGCTTCAATCTATATAATAATTTAACAAGTATACTATATATATTATTCTTTTAGAAATTCTCTAAGAGTTTAATATATATTAATTTACGTAGTTTAATATTAAAAAAAACTATTATAATATTAAAATTATATAATATCTAATTAAGTATAGCAGTAAGAGTAATAAAAATCTTAAAACTAATATTTTTTACTATAATAGTATAGATTTCTTTTATCTAATAATCTTTACCGGTGTTATACAATACCTACCGCTACAGCAGCCCATACCTACCACTATGGCAGTCTGCTCCGGGGTCAATACGGATTCGCCGGGCTTTCAATCCGGATGCCTATATTATTATGTTGCTTACCCCTCTTTCTGTATTATATATTGTCCTAGAATTCTTTAGAGAAAGAGATTTCTTAAGAATTAGTCTTAAAATTAATAGGAGACTGCTTTTGCCTTTGGCTACTTTAATATAACGTCGCTATTGCTTCCCTTGCCTAACCAGCGTGTCTACTGCGTCAAGTAGTTCCTAACAACCGGCATGTTGGCGGAAGTTTTTAATAATAAGATATACTTTATATATACTATTATATTTAATTTTTTATACTTATTTAAAAGATAGAAATCGGAATTTACAAAAATATAAGACAACTTAAAAAATATCTTATTTAATTTATTATTATATTTTATAATAGATAGTATTATACTACTTAGAAGCTTTAGTACAGGCTATAATATTAGTATAAATAGTAGATATATAGCTAATATTTTATAATATTAATTTTTTTATAGTAAAAGATTTTTTATAATCTAATAATAGATCTACAGTCGGCTGCATAACTATAAGATTAAGAAATAAGATATAAATAAAACAGTTATTAATTAAAAGATTAAATAAGATATTAATATAAAGATTCGGATTATTATTAATATTAATAATATAGAACTGTAGTAACTTAAATAAAATATAAAATAGTTTATAAATATAAGTTAAGTAATATAACAGCTACAGTATAGTTTTTATAGCTGGAAATACTAAAAATAAAAAACTAATAATTAGAAGATCTACAACTATCAGCTTATTATTAAAAATATTATTCTTAATAGTAAAAAATATTATATTAAAAATATTAAATACAGATACTTTATCTGCAGTTAGAGTAGATATCAGAACTGTATTATATATAGTATTATTTAAAATATTTAAAAAAAATAATATACCGGTTTGTTTATATTCGATAAGTTAGTTAGATTTTATATTATTATTTTTTTTCTAAAGCTGGAATACTGGAAAGTTCTATTTAAAATAGCTTTTAATATTAAAAAAATATAATAAATAAAAATCAGTAATATATATTTTTCCGGATAGTTTTTTTTAAATTAAAAATACTACCGGATATAAAATTAAAATTATATAAAAAAACTATTATAAATATCTAAAAAATCGGTTTTTTATTAAAAATAATATCGTGCGTATATATAACTTAATATATTTTAATATTATATATCTTATAGACTAATTTGGAGTAGCCTATAAAATAGTTTTTTTATATATAATTTTTTAATTTATTATAAGTTTTTTTAAAAATAAGATACTAATAGCAGCAGCTAAAAGTCCTTTAGTAAGTAATATCTGATTATATATTATATAAGACTTTATATAGTATTTTACTAATAGAATTATATATAAGCCAGTTCTAGATATAGTTTATAATAAGAATAATATAATTCTAGAAATAATAAGATAATTAATTATTAGTTATAACAAAAATACAGGGCTCGATAAGATATCTATTTTTAATTTTAGTAATTAGATTAAAATTAGAATAATACTATAAAGCTAGATTTTAGATAATATTCTATTTTTAATAATAAATTATAAGTAGTTAATATTCTAATATATTATTACTATAAATATACTTAATATTAATATTTAATTAATATTTAAAATAGTTTTATATAATAATAAACTTATTATAAATTTTACTGCAGTTTTTAAAAAGAAAAATCTAATAATAATAAAAAATATAATTTATAAAAATAATAAAATAGTAAATATTAGTCTAACTATATATAAACAGCAGACTATAGATATTAATATATATAAGATTTTTAACTTAAAGCCTAAAATTATATAACTTAATATATAATATTAGAAGTATTTAATTTTTTTCGCGAAGACAGGATTCGCAAGATATTGATAGAATATTCTTTTTAATATTCAGACTAATAATATATTTTAAGAAACTATAGATTTTATACTTGGAGGCGTGGGCTGTACAGTAATATATTAAATAAATTAAAATTAGTAGAATAACTAATTTTTTAACTATATATATAATAAGATTAATAAAAAATAAGCAGATTAAAATACCGCAGCTATATAAATTATATATAATCTTATAGTTTATTATACTAATAATATTTATAAAATATTATTTCTTATTTATAATAATATAGCTAATTTATTTATTATTCTAAATAAAAAGTATAATTTTTTTTAATATTATAAATAATTAAATATTTAAGTAAGCCAGCTGTTTATATAAAATAAGATTATTTAAAAAAGCCGGAGTAAATTAGCAACAGTTAATATTAAATATACTAATTAGATTACTGTTCTTATCTATAAGTTTAATAAAAATAATACTATAACTAATAGTATAAAAAACTTTATTAATAGTAGTTTTAATCCAGTAAATATAGAGTATAAAGATTTAAAAATAATATTTAAAATAATTTATACTCTTTATAGTTTTGGAATTAAGTATTTATTTATTTATATAATTTAAATAAGTATTCTTTTAGACTACAGCTGCTATATTAAAACAAACTAATATAATATAAATACTAAGTAAATTATAATTAATATTAATAATATTAGTAGTAGAAAGTTTAAATAAAGATATTATTTTCACTAATATAAATATTATATTAATATATATACTTATATTTTTTTTCTATCTAGATTTAATAAATACTTGTTTAAGAAATAATTTTTATTATATTAATAAAAAGTATAAAATATTAAGTTTTTATTTACAGTATTGAGTTGTTTATATTTAAATTAAATATTAAAATTTAATTATATTCTATTTTAATTATAGCTATTACTATATTTATAATTATAATCTTTATTTTTACTGCAGCCGCTGCGATTACCGCTGCAGTTAATAATATTAAAAATTAAAAACTTATTACTAATAGTATATATAAATAGTTATATAAATTAATTTTTCCAAGTATATTTAAATTATATAAATTAGATATAAACTGTAAAAAAAAATTCAGCTATTAATATTATATACTAGCTTATAATAAACAGCTGCAAGATAAAAATATTTTATATAATAATAAAAAACTATAAAAGTTTAGTTTAATTATTAATAATTTTAATATTATATAACTTATTAAGAGCATCCGCAAACTTTATAAAAAATATATTTTAATTAATAATATTATTATAGTATATTAACGCCTATTTATTATATAGATAAACAGTAGTAGTAAAGTTAGAAGTCTTATATATTTTTTAAAAAAAAAATATATATTAACTGCTGTTTTATAGTTTTAAAAATATACTATAAAACTGGCCTCGCATATTACTTTAAGTATAATTAAAACCAAGTAGTTTAACTAATTTTATTTTTTAATATTAGTATTATATATAGTATAGAATATATAATTATATTATTTAATTTTTTTAATACTGCGTTATATATTTTTATAAGTTAGTAGTATAATATTTTTATTAATAATTCGGCAAGCAAGCTTTTATATATATATATTTTCAGTCTTATTATATAATATAGGCTTATCAAAAGCAGTAAATTCGCCTTAAAATAATTTCTAGATATTTAGATTTTTAGACCTAAAATAGTTATATAAATTATATTATTATACCAGCCAGTTAGACTAATCTTTTAATTTTAGTACAGCTTTAAAGATATTAATATCAAACAGATCTTTTAATAATACTATAATATAATATATGGCCACACCGCTCGCATAATAAAAGTATATAGTTGGTTGGTTGGTTCGGTAAATTAATAAATACCGGGTCTGATTATTAAGCCGGCTAGAACGCCTTAAAAACTTCTTTATTTTACTAAATATAAAAGTCGCTAAACAAAGATGTAAAAAGCTGTTGATATCGTGGATATCGGTGTATATAGAAAGGTTTTAATAAAAAGAATATAGAAAGCTATTTTTAACAAGAAATATAGCCACAAGGACTTATAATCTGTGAGAGAAAATGTATATGTGTGTATTAAATAAATCTACGGCTACGTGGCTTTTCCTCCGAGAAATGGTGAGATCCGAGGTCACGTGACCCCTATCTGTCACAGTTTCACTGTCAGGTATCATTTGTACATATCCATATGGACTCGGCTTCAGCCACATTTGGTGGGGTAATCGCGCCACATCCCCTCCCATAACAAGCCACACACTTCCTGCGGCCTGAGGCAGCACGTTGGCCTAAGGCAAACACATCCCGACGGGATTTGCAGAAGCCTTGAATCATACACGAAAGCAACAGTAAGCTGTCAGCCTACGCATCACATACCGTCAGGAGACGCTTGTCAAGTAACCTTTGCATCTTGGTCACACTATATCCAGCCACCCAATCTTAATACACATACCGAAACCGGCTATTCTGCTTATCTGTCAGCCCTGCCCACTTGGCCTCCTCCACCATCGCGTCCTCGACCTTCCCGTACTTCCGATCCCGCCTCCGATTCTCCCACACATAATACGCAAAAAGCACCGCCGACATGACCGCAGCGGCCGCCTGGGTGGCCAGAACCGCAATCTTGGCCGGCCGATACTCGGGGGCATCGTGCGCCTGAAACGTCTGGGGCCCAATGATGTTTCCCACCGAGAATGACCCCGCGACAAGCGCGCTCCCGAAGGCGCGCTTGGTGTGGCCCGCGCAGTTGGCCATCGTCCATTGATACAGGATGGGCAGGGTCGCCACGATTGCGTTGACCAGGTAGATCCCGATCAGCACGCCAGCTTTGTCGCTCTTGGGCAAGAAGGAGAGCAGAGCGCCCCCGATGATCCCGGGAATGGTGCAGAGAATATTCCACGCCCAGCGATGGGAGGTCTTGCGGATGCCGATTCCGACCAGCAGGGTGAAGAAGATGCTGACAACGCCGGAGGGCATGTTCAGCAGGGCCGAAATCGGGCCCGGGTAGCCGAAGCTGGCAATGAGAGTCGCCGAGTACGAGGTGACCACACCGCTGGATACAGAGATCTATCAAGAATGAGCTTCTGAAGAAAGAGTGGAGACGCGGTCATCTGATGTCCTTACCAGGATGGTGATCAAGGTCAGCAACCAAAGTTGCACATCCAGCAAAGCCTCCCAGATCTGCTTGAAGTTGAACTTGCGACTCCAAACCCCCGTCTGATTGACACTGACATGCTGCAGGAGGGCAATCTTCTCGTCGTCGGACAGCCACGTCGCCTCCATGGGGGTATCCGGGATCAGCAGAAAAGTGAGAACGCCGACAACGACGGTGACTAGGCCGATGACGAGGAACATGATGCGCCATCCAGCCATCGCCGCATGCTCCACATGCTGGAAGCCAAATGAAACCAGTCCACCAATGATCTGTGCGACTCCCAATCCGTTGTACCAGAAGGTAAAGCGTGGGGCCTGTTCACTCTTGGTATAGTATTGACTGCTGATCAGCATCAGCGATGGACCGATCGTCGCCTCGAATATGCCCAGGAAGACACGCGCAGTCAAGAGGGTTGGATAGTTGGTGGCTCCAGCCGATGCGGCGGCAGCAACACCCCACAAGGTAACATTGGCTCCCAGCCATTTCGCAGCGGGCGCTTTCTGAAGGCAGTAGGCTGGGGAAGGGCAAGTGAGTAAGCGCACGATCAGACACCATACATGGCTGCAGGGACTCGACTTACTGTTGGGCACCTCAGCGATCAGGTAGGCCAGGAAGAACCAGGTGGCTGTGTTGGTGTATTCGTTCCCTGCCAAGCCGAGGTCCCTCTTCATCCCCATCACCGCGGCATAATTCAGCATCACCTTGTCGAGGAACTGCAAGACATAGCAGCAAAACATGAACGGAATAAGGCGGAAGTCGATCTTGCGACGGAGGGCTCGAAGATCCATCTGAGGGGTGCCAGCCCCGGCCATGTGGCCCTGGAGGTATTCCACCGCATCATCAGTGCGATCGGCGGTAGGCAAGGCCTGAGAAGTGGGCTGTTTCTCCTCCATCTTGACTTGGTTTCAGGCAACGAGGAGGGAAAAGCAAATTGGGTTTTGACACCAGGGGGAAGAGGGGTTCTAAATGGAAAATTCTTACGTGCGGGATATTGTGTTACGCACCGGAATGGCATTGGTGCAACCAGCTCATTTAGTCGAGGCCGGCAGGTTGCATGAGGCATAATATATTGCCAAATTAATTACTTGGTCTAGTGCATGCAGGAAGACGGCCGGTCGTCCTTCGCCAGCGCACTAGTTTCACACCCTGGGTTGAGCACATCAAGGTTAATTGCTGCAGGAGAGCTGCATCATTGCTTGCCGTGGTGTGAACATTGAGAACGTAGTTAAGACTCGTGGTCCCCTCCACTGTGCGATTGCTTTCCTGCAGCCAGTTTGACCATGACTTGGGTGCACCATGCCTCGCCCGAGGTGGAGGCAGCATCGCAATATCGCCTGTTACTGGGGGTATGTTTAGGCCTGACCCTGTCGATGTTCATCATCGTCTGCCTACGCTTGGCTATTCGGTTCCACGCTCGTCGGCTGGAAGCCTCCGACTATGTGATGGTGATGACTATGGTACACTCATCAAATGAAGGCTATGTGTTGTTGTCCGCCGCTCACCCGTGGTGTACTAGGTCTTCAGCATTATCTACAGCGCACTATGTATGGCTCGTGAGTGACCTTCTTTTTTATTCCCGTCTGTCGGTCGGAAAGCGAGCTGAACATAGTAGAAAGCAGGTACGGTCTGGGGCTACCTCTGAAGCTGCGACCAAAGGAGGATCTGCCCGAGTACACCAAGGTATTTTTGCTTTTAGTCTCAACAGTAGGCGACCAGCTGACGAAAGAGTTCATAGCTCAATTATGCCGGTCGGCCTTTCTACCAAGTCGGTATCGCCGGTTTCAAGGCTTCGTTATGTTTGAATTACCTGCGATTGATTTCTGGGACGTCGAAGACACTGTATAGAATGCTCATCTGGGTTACAATCACCCTCTCCACCGCTGGTCACCTTGTGGGGGCATTAGTGCTGATTTTCAACTGCCATCCAGTATGTCCAAGACGAGAAAGTTGAGAGCGACTGACCAGACTGACCGACGACGCTGGACAGGTTAAACGGGCATGGAACCCTACAATAGCTGGATCGTGTCTTCCCTCGGGCCCGACCTTCTATGGACTGGCCGCGTTCACCATCATCTGCGACGTGACCATCCTCATTCTACCCATCCCCCTGCTCATGCAGCTCAATATTAAACCCGCCCAGAAAGCGGGCGTGGTGTGTTTGTTCCTCTTGGGACTTTTCACCACCATCTGCTCCATCCTGCGACTGGCTCAGATCCACCGGGTAGCATATGGAGACGGGAATTCGACCATGTTAGTCCTGTGGGGCACCATCGAGTTCAACGTCGGGGTGAGTGCCTGTGGTCCTTTCGGTGGATGGATCCAACCCTCCTGACCAACTGACCCCTTCCAGAACATCGTGACATGCATTCCCTTCCTTGCACCTCTGCTCAAGAGCGCCGTGCGTGATTTCCGATCGCACAGTGACCAGAAACACTATGACGGGCAGAGTTATGCCTTGCAGTCTTGGTCGAAACACCCACGCTCCCAGCTCCAGTCCACCACCTCGGCGGCTCCACGCCCACGACGGACTCCCAGCGAAGAGCTGATCTTGGAAAGTGGGGGGCTCGAGGAAGGGGGGATTCATATGACAGTGGAGTTGCGCGTCTCGCTGGAGGAAAAGTCCGCGAAAGATCACTAACAGCGTGGCCACCCTAAATCTTTTTGGTGTTATTTACTTAATTAACCACTCACCGGTCGGCGAAACCCAGATTTCCTAGTGTCAATAAGCTATGAACCCTGCCAATATTTAGCACCTTGGCTGCAAATAAGAATAGGGCGAAAGTGGTCGTGGATTGGAACTAAAGCAAGGTTGACTGGGTCGAGGTTTCTCCCGGTCCAATCGGTGGTGATGGCACTGGCTGGTTTAAGCCGTGCTCAGGATCGGTCACACTTCCCCGAGAAGGGACCGAATTAGGGAGATGATATTACACTAGTACTATATTATTTCCACGCCTGTGCTGTTGTTGCCTGTGATAGTGGGGGGATGAATGGATTGAAGCATCCACTGGCGGACGACGGACTGAGGGCTAATGCCGGGGTTGACCCCATCCCGTGCTCGGCCGCGGCCTTGTGTGCCACTGTAACTACAGTAAACTCCGTACTCAACTTTTGTTAGGCTCATAGACTAGAGACAGTTTGTGGGTCTTTTTCCGACCGGTGAGGGGCCGATGACTTCTTAGTACTCTTTAGTGGCCCGTGGTGGTGCCAGACTGTATATTGGTAACTGTCTCATTATCCTCTGCCTCCTTACCATCCCTGCTAGTCCAGGATTCTTAGCCTTCAGCTGTCTGTAAAGCAGCAGGGAAGAGATGAATTAAAGACACGATCGACGGTGTCTCCCTTATATTAGTCAGAGACACGGGAAAGCTGTGGCTGTCAGTCCACCGCGGCTAGCCGTCTATCAGTCAATGATACGTCGGGTGAAAAGCAAGGGATGAGCAAAACCTGTCCTGTGCAGACAGACATACAGCCCGTGCATCTGCCTCACCCTTCCTTTCCTCTGCTTCCCTCCATGGCTGATCTCCCCGTGCTCATCGCTGGTGCAGGCATCAGCGGCCTCCTGCTGGCTCAGTATCTTCAACGACATCAAATCCCATATCTGCTTTTCGAACAAGATGGCTCGATCGATGCGCGGAGTGGTGGCTGGGGGCTGACCCTCCACTGGGGTCTCCCGGCGCTGCGCGAACTCCTCCCTGACCACCTCGTGGCCCGTCTGCCGGAGACGTATGTGAACAAAGCTGCTGCCATACGAGGGGACACGGGGCGCTTCCAGTTCTTTGATCTTCGCACGGGATCGGCCTTGTACAGCGTCCCCGCCGCCGAACGGATCCGCGTCAGCCGCGTGCGACTGAGGCAGCTGCTGGCCACCGATCTCGGTCTCCAGTGGAACAAATCTCTCACGAGCATCGATTCCACGACCGAAAGCGTCACCGCACACTTCCAAGATGGGACCTCGTACACGGGTTGCCTGCTGGTCGGGTGCGATGGATCGCGCTCCCGCACACGTGAGATCGTGTACCCTGAGGGCCACGAGATGAACCCCCTGCCCGTGCAGCTGCTGGGTGGAGCTGCCCTCTATTCGGCGGAGCAGATGGGCGGAGCGGAGACCATCGACCCCTTTATCTTCCAGGGCTCGCATCCAGATACAAACATCTTCTTCTTTTTCAGCTGTAGGTGAATCGTTGTCCCCACCGTCAAGGAGCCTTTTGCTGACCAAGGGACTGCTCGAATGCCCGCAGTGCTCGATACACCCAATAATTTCGACGAGAGCGACAAAGACAAATACCTCTGCCAGATCATCGTATCTTGGTCCGATGAGAAGGGAATCCCCGTTCCCAGTGACAATGCCGAGAGACTCGCATTGATGAAGTCCTTGACCGCGAACTGGGTCGAGCCCTTCAGAGGCCTGGTTCATCACTTGCCCGAGAGCACCGAAGTGCGATCCATCCGCATTGCCGACTGGCTGTTCCGACCAGGGCAAGGCACTGCCCATCCACGGGTGGTGCTAATGGGCGACTCGGCTCATACGATGACGATGTGTATGTTTCCGCATGATGATGACCCCTGATCGGCATTGTGACTTGCTGATCGGAAAATAAACGTAGTCCGCGGAGAGGGGGCCAACAATGCCATTGTCGATGTCCTGGATTTGACGAAACGAGTGGACTTGCGATCCCTGGGGTGAGTGTCCAGCGCTACCTGTCGATGTATGCATCGCTGAAGTTGGTACTAATTCATTGCACTGAGCAGGTCTCTCGGCATAGACGAGCTTCGCAAGTCTCTAACGGTGTACGAGAACGATGTGCTTGCCCGAGCAGGGCCAAGTGTGGTCAATTCCCGCCAAGCGTGTCTCGATGCCCATGACTTCTCCCGCATTGTGGATGGCAGCCCCTTGGTTTCGGCTCGCTTGCGCGAGGAATAGTCGGATTCCCCTGGATAGGCATTCTAAGATTACCCACATATTCTGCAAGGTTATGATACCAGCACTGGTGGGGCCGATGTTTGCACCTCAGTACAGCCGGGGTAATTTGAGCGAACATGCCTGTTCGTCAAAACATATGTGTTCGCTCTCCTGCTTTCAAGAGATCGGGCTTATTGTTGATGCTATTAATCTAGCTTCATCGTTGGAATCAGTAGCCAACCGTTCAAAACTTAGGTTCAAGTAATAGTAGTATTGATATTCGTGATAACTTGATTAAAGGGTCTTCTCCCTGGATTATCCGCACGGAAGCAATAGACTCAATTGAAGCTCCAGCCAAAGTCGATGCCCGGTGCTATATACCACAGCTGTGTCAGCTCGTCCTCGTCCTGGTCTCTAAAGAACCTCGTCTTGCCTCCGAGGTTGTACTGGTAAAGGCCATAGGCTCTGTCTTTGTCATCATCGTCTGGAGCCAGCTCTCGATAGAACTGCACCCACTTGGGCGTCTCAATACTTCCCATCAAAGGTAGCAGGTCGGGGTGTTTCTTCCGTCCTTGCTCGATAACGGTCAAGAGCAGTTCTTGAACTGCTATCCACTGGGAATCTCGGACATCTGCATCGTCGCAGAAGATGCTGTACATCTGCCAGTACGGGTGCTTTATTATTGCGTATCCGTATTGGGTCCCGGATCTCTTGCCAACCACCATCGCGACATGATCTGCATACGTGTGCCTCCAGCGTGGTGCAGGCCGGCTATCTGGGAGCATCTCAAAAACTATCGGTGCGTTCATCATGTTTGACTATGTTAAGTTTTGGGATAAGTGGGATGTGAGATCCACAATATGGATCGAGTGGTTGCTGCGGAGTGAGGGAGACACATAGACCCAACTGTTGCTTATATAGTCCGGGTAAAAATGCTCCTGCAGCTGATGCTGCGTACTCTATATTCGCATAATCCTGCTGGATAACCAAATAAAGAACGCTCGTCCTTCATCCCTGGGTCTCTGGGCTTCTGTGAATGTAATCGGTGGACGCTTCCTGGAGCTTCTAGGATTTGCTTCATTTGTCCATAGCAATCACCCTGGTCCTGTAGTGGTTTACTCTCGTTTGGCTGAGGCTCTTTAGCATCTGTCTTCTTTGTTCTATGATTTTGTAGATTTTTTTTTCGCTGTCCTACCTCTCTATGTTGAAAGCAAAAGTGCTATGAATCCAGACAACGTCTTTGTGCAAAGCTGAAATTTCCGATCTGAAAGTATCTCTCTTTGTCCGTCTTATCTCTGTCAATTTTCCTAGATCCAATTCTTCTTCTCCCGCTTGTCACATTCTTGTTCCTCGGGCATAAGCTCGGTAACTCGTCAACCTCTTGGATTCCCCCGATCGGCACCTGCTACTCGGACAAGTCAGGTTACGACTCCACTGCCAATCCCGAAATAGCCCAGCCAGGGGTGCTTCCAAGCAATAGTCGGAAATCCAATTCCCCCATGTGGAGATGATCATTGCTGGATCGAGATCGGAGTCGACTGGTAACCGAGGTACGGATCCACCGTTCGCGTGCAGTCACCCATTTTTGTGTGTTTCAGTCGGTGATCGCCGAACCCGCGATCCAAGAATGAGTCGAACTGCCAGCAATTATATCTCGTGGTGCATCTCCCCCTTGTTGACCATGACGGTCTCCTCTGTGCCATCGTCATGCATCTCCCCCGATACCTGGCGGCAGCTCTGTCTGCCCTACCTACCTGCAGCGCCCTTCCCTCGCAGCAGCCCCGGGATCCTTCCTCGACAATCACCGTCGATGCCCTCAACGCATTTGATTTCTGGGTGCAATATGCAGCTGCCGCCTACTGCGAGTCCAACTACATCGCACAGGCGGGCCACAAGTTGGCCTGTTGGGCGGGCAATTGTCCCCAGGTTGAGGCAGCCGATGCGACTATTCTGCTAGACTTCTCCAAGTATGCCTACTGTCCCTGCTATGAGCCCTGCCCCTTTAAACCACCATACTAAGTGAACTGTGTGATCTCAGCACCACTGCAACAGATACCGCCGGCTTCCTCGCCCTCGACCGCGCGCACCAGGCCCTGATCCTCTCCTTCCGAGGCTCGTATTCCGTCCGAAACTGGCTAACGGACGCGACCTTCTTCTACGCCGACCCACATCTCTGCACGGGCTGCCAGGCCGAGCTGGGGTTCTGGAGCGCCTGGACCAATGTCCGAGCGAATGTGACCGCAGCTCTCACCGACGCTCGTGCCTCATACCCCGACTACGAACTAGTGGTGGTGGGCCACAGCCTGGGCGCGGCCATCGCGACTCTCGCCGCCGCCGACCTGCGCGACCAGCAAAACGAGACGGCGACCCTCTACGCCTTCGCCTCGCCGCGCGTGGCCAACCCTGCTCTGGCCAAGCACATCACCGCTCAGGACCAGCAAAAGGGCCAGGGGAAGAACTATCGATTTACGCACACAAACGACCCCGTGCCGAATCTGCCGCTACAGCTGATGGGGTACGCCCACGTCAGCCCCGAATACCACATCACCGCACCGGATAATGCCACCGTCACGACGAGCCAGGTCGTTGTGTATGCGGATGGGGATAGCAGCCAGGGAAACACGGGGCTGCTGGGGATCCCGGATTTGCTGGCCTTCGATGCGCATCATTGGTATTTTGAGCGGGCGGATGCGTGTCTGGGGCCGGGGTTGCCATTCAAATGAGGTATCCTGGTGGACGTGATGATAGAGCTTAGTCTCATTTGGTCAGATTCTTCGCTTTGTACATTTTTGGTATATACTTACCAACCATTGGTGCGGATGCATATGTATCCTGTATAGATGGTTGCTTGGTGATGCTCAATCTCTCACCACCAGTGCACCCGTGTCTAAACACTTGTGAAGCTTCCTTATAAAAAACAGGGTCATGAGAGCAACCATAGCTGACTGAAGTATTTTGGGGATTGGTGGTTTATGCCCGGGGTTACTAGCTAATCGGATTGGGAATGATCACAGTGGCGGAAGGCGCCCAGAATCTGGAATCCTGTTCACCTGGATGAGCCTGCCACATATATTTATATGTCATTATGTGAACTAAACATACACCGTTTGTAGGTCGGTATGTAACGAGTTCGTTTCATTCCCGGTAGTATCATCCGTCGCATGCGTCACTTTATGAGCATTGGTTCTAATCCACACGTGGTTAGCTAGAAGCTTAAATTTGCCGAGCAAGGGAATTGAACTAGAATGACGAATGCAGCTTCGTGCTGCAGCGTCACAAATCATTCTGCACCATCTATCAGCTCTTGCATCTACAAACTACAGCTACCCGGTTCGGAAAACATGTTCAAGTTATGATTTGTTCGTTCACTAAATTACATGTACCGATCCCTGATCGTATATTCGAGAGTCATGTCATGTTCCAAGTCGGGTCGTATCATCAAATCGTGATGGATGAGTCTAAAAAGCATTTACTCATCACCGAGAGTCTGGCCGCCCTTGCGGCCGGCCTCATGAGGGTCGACCTTGCCGTGTGCGAACTCGCCCTTGGCGCTGCCACCGCTGTGGCTGCCGGTGGCCTGGCCGCCGATGGAGCCACCCTCCTGGCCGGCCTTGTGGGGGTCAACCTTGCCGTAGGCGAACTGGGACTGCTGGGTGCGCTTGTCGGGCTGGCCGTCCTCGCGGAGACCACCGTGCTCTGTTGTTGGGGTTAGTTGTGTTTGAGCGATAGGGAATTGGAAGAACTGTACCAGAGGGCTTGTACTTGTCGGCCATTTTGATAGATTGGGCGGAGAATCGAACAGTTGAGATGCGAGAGTGGAAGATTGGTTTATTGATAATGTGCTTATTGGTCATGGAGGTAGTTGCGGTTGAGGGGGAAAGTGATTGAAGCTGGAATTGAGGGCCTTTCTATAGAAGATTGAGGATGAGATGTTGGTGGAGGGAGAATGTCAGGGTGAGGTCATGGAGGCAGCAAATGCGGTTATGAAACTACGTGGCGATGACATCGCCGTTACGACGATGGCTTCGCCACTCTCTGCAGTCTGGAGTAGTGTGTATACTGTATACTGTGTATACTGTGTGTACTGTGTGTACTGTGTGTACTGTGTGTACTGTGTGTACTGTACTGTGTGTATGGAGTGTTGATGTCGCGTCATCCTCAGGAGAGTTGCACAATTCTTTGCAATCTCGCCATCTTCTCGAATTCGATGATGCGGGCGGGCATCATGGCTGTTGGTAGGATGATTAATTAGGGTTCCAGCATCATGGATTACCCCAGGTCTTACCGCGATCGATCGATCACCCGCCGACATCTCACTGGCCGAAGTCGGCCACCGTCGCCAGGCTAAACAAGCTTATTGAGACCATCTCTCTCACACAACCCTGGGTGCCCCTGAGACACGTCGCGGGACACATCGATCTGCCTTGGATGCCCCCGGCCATTGCGGTAGACTTTTCCGCCGATCGTTCGGCTTTTGCTCGAAATGTTGAGCCGGCTGCCGGGGGTCGAGTCGAGGCTCTCATCGTTGCGTAATTTCAGCTAATCTTGAAACTTACTCAGGATCGCATCAGGTCCAGGCCAGGCATCTGCAGCCGCCAATCAAAGCCATTGCTGCGCAGCGCGTTTGAAGAATCCTGAGTAGATGTGACCTGTGTCTCTGGTGATGGCATAAACTCCATAATCAATTGGTGGCGAACTCAATTGGTGATTGGAGAGCAAATGCCAAGTTCTGCTTAGGATGCCTTGGAGAGGTGGTCAACTGCAGCAACGGGCATGCTCGGTCGGGAGCTGCCAGGGCAGCACGTAGGAAACCCGTCTGGAGACTTTCCATTTTTTTCCCACTTTTTTGAACGAAGATGGTCACTACAGCCTGGGATCCAACTACAAAGCTTTTCTACATGCTAATACAAGACTTCTGAATGAGATATAGCGAGGATTGCTGATTTGCGACCGGTGTAAATGTATGCATTCACCCGTTGGTCGTCCTAACCCACCACTCTGCGATCGAGCCGCGGCAAAGTTCACCAACTCTCGGGCCAGAACAGCATAATGCCCGGTTATGTCCTCGACATCCTCGACAGGCTCTCTGGAATTAGAAATGTATAATGTGCGAGCTATGATACGGCGATACAATGGGCGAATTCCTGTGGGTGAGCCACTTCCGCCAACAGGGTTCTTCACATTCGTAGATGCTCACGCAGTTGCTCTCGGGCAACCCAACCCTACCTTGCACGGACAGCAACTGTAACCTGGCGAGCAGTAGAGATCTACAACTCGAATCATTGGTATCTCAAAGGCTTTCACTATGACAATTTAATCAAGTGTCCCAATTGATATACTCTGCTCTGCTGTCAGCCATTCGATCATGAATAGCCTATACCTGCTCCTGACCCGTGGCAATACGGTCGGGAGTTCCAGCTACCAACCCGCAGGACACCCACAACTGAGGAAGCAGAAAGAAAGTCAGGGTAATCAAGTTACACATGTTACTCGAACCGCGGACAGACTGGAACAAATCCGCCTATTCTGAAAAAGACCGTCTTGAACACAAGATGTATTTGGGTATCAATGGTAATGATGATGCGCGATGTATATATATACATGTATATATGGTGGCGGATTGCGGAACCCATGAGCGCTCGGGGGCGATGGAGAAAAAGGAGACAAGATAACCAGAAAGACAACAACAAAAAGCAAGAAGCGAACCCTGACTCGCAGTTCGTCAGGGCTGGAAGCGCAATTAGTCAGCCCATAAGCTGAAAACGTCTATACAGGATCATTAGATGTACATTGGAGGGATCGATGTGACGTGATGTCGTCAGAGATGATAGTGATGATAAGGAAAAAAGGAGTGTGAGGGTGAAGGAGAGGGCAAGAGAGAAGACTAGGGCTTGGCCAGCTGTTCCTTGCGGAAGAAGAGCAAGAAGCCAGCACAGACGAGAAGCTGACAGAACAGAGCCACCCAGAACCAGGCGTTGGCCACGGAGCTGGCACCGAAGGTCGGATCGGGGGAGATGGGACCAGGCCCGACATTGTTCGGGCCAAAGGCGCGGGCACAGATGGTGGCGATCGAACCGATCACCTGCGAACAGATCAGGGTGAACAGCATGTGCGTGCGCGTGAGCGTCTGCAAGAGGATGATACCGAAGCCGAGACCTTGAATTGAGTCCAGCACGCCCAGCCAGAGCCAGATACTGCGCGAGACCAAGGCACCGCCTGTATATCCGCCGGTCACCCAGGGCAAGAAGTAGCCGATACCGGAGACACCCCACCAGATCTGGGCCCAGCGCGGCGCGCCCAGTCCGCAGGCGAACACCGGCAGGAACCAGCTGTGCGCCTTGAAATAGCGGCTGACGACGAACAGGAACCCGGCCCAGACGAAGCCGTAGAAGACGATACACAGGATGACGATCTGCCAGCCGTGCGCGTGCGCCGATCCCCACAGGAAGCCCCAGTTGCGGCCGTACGGCGCGCTCAGGAAGAAGTTCTGCAGGATGACCGCCACGAAGTTCCAGAGCACGATCTTACGCCGGAAGACGGACTTGTAGAAGGAGGCGACCTTGCCGGGCGTCTGGTTGTAGTAGGTGGGAAGGCCCAAGAACAACAAGATGCCCACGGCCCACAGGGCGATGGCGATCGGGTAACAGATGGCGGTCATCTTCCACGAGTTGGCGATGTTGTTCGTGCTGGTCAGCACGCCGGCGCTGGACGCCTTGGTCAGGGTCGATCCCCAGTACCAGAGGGCGATCACGTAGGCGGACTGGATGCCTTGGATGAGGCACGCGCGGAAGATCCACACCTCCACGGGGGCACCCCCTTCGTCGCCGAAGTTGAGGGCGAAGAAGAGCGAACCACTAGACGATCCAACCGCGTAGGCACCACTGCCGATGTTCTGAATCCAGCCACGGTTAAACTCGTTGGTATCCCAGTGGGCAGATCCGATCAGCAGGAAGGCAAGGCCGTAGAAGAACCACGGAGCCGAGAGACACACCACGGACTTGAAGTAGCGATACACCAACCACCAACAGATCGAGGCGATCAGGTATGTAGTGGCAATGCCGTACAGCTTCTCGGCCGTCTGACCGACTTCACCGGTCAAAAGGGTGACCTGGTACGAGTTGGCGGCGATGATCTGACCAATCGACAGGAAGATCGAGTAGATGGGCCAGTCGCCGATGCGGATTTGCATCCAGCGCCGCAGTCCCGTGGGTGGGACGTAGTCCTTGCCCAGCAGGAACTCGTCGTCGGTCTCGTTGGACTCCTCGTTGCTGCTGGCGCTCATGCGCGAGCCAGTCTCGTCGTTGTACGAGCCCATGGGGGAGGCGCCGTGCTTGTCGCGGAAGATGGAGGGCGTCGGCGACTTGAAGCGACCCAACTTAGCATCGCGGAAGCGATCGAACCATTCCTTCTCACTCTGGATCAAGTACTCCTCGATACAGAACTGCGATTCCGAGTTCTCACCCGTCAGGTCTTCGAGCTTCTTGTCGAACGAGTTGTAGTACTCGCCCGTACTGTCGGTGAAGAAGGGGTCAACCTTCTGCAGCTTGAAGTCCTTCTTGCCGCCGACCACGGAATCGAGGGAGAGCATCGAGGCGCTACTGAGACGGTTGCGGGCCTCGTGGATGTTGGGCGGAGGCAACAGAGTCTGCGAGGCTGTCGGAGGAGTGCCAGGACTGGAGGGAACGAGACTGTTGTGAGGGAACCCAGGGCTGGCGGGGACCAAAGCCCCCGATTGCCGCGCGGCCTGCAGACGGCGCGCCTCTTCCAGTTCCGCATGGTTGAGCGTGTACTCGTCATCACCAAAGTTGTCCTGGGGGTCGTGCTCGATGTCGGTCTCGTCGCCGCCTTCCTCGGCCTCGACGATGTTCTCGTTCTGAGGATCCGCACGCTGCGCACGCGGACGGTGACCGGGGCCGGAGCGGTAGCCCAGAGACAGCTTGCGTTGCAGACCGCTGGCGGGCTTCTCGGTGGTTTCCGAGGTGGCCACGTACTCGCTGAGCCGGTTGAGGTTGGCATAGCTGCTCTCGCGGGATTGCAGCGTAGGCGTCTGCATGCCCGGAGCCAGCATGGGGCTGGCCGGAGTCGGGGCGAGGGCGAAGTTCGAGGCGGAGGGGGTCACTGGCCGGTTGTTTGTCTTGCTTCGTTCCTTGTTATGCACCTGGATTGCCGTCGTTTGCAGGATCTCCAGATCTTCAACCCACTGAGCCACGGGGAAACGCTGCTTGGCCGACCGGGCGCGCATCATCGCTCTCGTCTCCTCCTTGGAATTAAGGGCCGCGTCGATAGCCAACTTGAACTGGTGGAGCAAGTGGTATGTCGACGTCGATTCAACGTTGTACCACCAACCTGGCATCTGACCCAGTCCACCAACGCGGGCTCCGATACCCAAAGCACCCTTACGTCCGAACTCGACGGCGACGAGGCCGAAAGGTTCGTCACGCGAAGGAATAAGGGCGAATTCGGCTCCGGAGAAGATATAGGGCGGCAGACTCGTGAATTCGGGACGTGAGAAGACACGGCCAGGGTAGAGCTTCATCATATGATCGAGCTTGAGGGCAGCGAACTTGCCGTATAGATCAATCACTGGACCAACGCAAATCAGCTGCACGTTGGGATGGGCCTCGAGAACACTTGGCATCACATCAGCGATCAAATCGACACCCTTTTGCATGGACCAACGGCCGACAAAGACCAGCAGATCCGCGTCCGGATTGACAGTAAGACCGGCCCACTCCTGGGCTTGACGCTTCAAGTCTCCACGGCCAGCTTCGTAGGATGGGTCAACGGCGATATCGCCGCTCATCGCCTTTGCCTGTTCCTTGTCCCAGTCACCAATATCCGAAGGATCCGGGTTGGGGAGGTTGCCAATCTTACGCAGACCCCAGAAGATGGGATAACGCGCGTACGACCGTTTACCGTATTTCTTGGAGACACCGACGGCACCGAAACCCTGTTGGTGCACACGCAGGTAACTAGCACCGGAGTGCAACAAGTTGAAGACTTCACCGAACTGGACGTAGTGGCGGACCACGTCCAGGCTCAGGTTAAATACCTTGCACACTTCCTCGCGTTCCGTGGTGGTCCGCAGAGGCCACAGACCTTGGAACTCGGCATTGTGCAGGGACAAACACGCTGGAATAGTCTCGGGCAAAAGGTAAAGCGGTGCCAACGAACCGTGATAATCGTTGATATGATAAAGGTCAATGGGGAAGCGCTTACACGCCTGGGCGATACACTGATTCCATGCAGAATAATAGATAGCACTGTTCAGATCGTCCATACGCGCGGGATACGGCTCTGACTTGGACTGTTGGCGGAAGACAGGGGCGTCAAGCAACACGTACGTAATGTTGTTCAACGTGTGATATTGCACTTGCACCTCGTAGTCGTTGCCAAGGATCGTGACGTTCATGGGCTCAGCGGGGGTATCCACAGGATAATCCACTCCACCGACACAAGGAACCACCCAGATAAGGTCCTGATGACCGAGCGTTTTACCCATCAGTTGGGCCATGACACCCAATCCACCGATCTTAATCTTGATCTGCCAGTCCTCGATATCGTACTCCATGGTGGCGATGAGAACCATGCGACGCTTGGCAGCCGCGGCCCCGCTGAGAGGCGTCGAGGTTTGCAACAAGCCTGACTTGTTGGCCAAACGGGTCAACGCGCCCATTTCCTTCTCCTCAGTTCCACGAGGACGCTTCTTGAACTTGCGACGGATGGCCAGGGGAATCATGTTGTGCTTCTCGGTCACACCGACCTGGTTGAACTTAACTTTGTAGAACGATTTCATGAACACCCAGACGCAGGCGGCGCCGCTGATCGGGGGAATGATCCAGAAGAGCACGAACATGGCAATCTGAGTGGCCTGTTTGCCGACCGGGTACAACCGGAAGCGCATGGTAGCATCGTCAATGATCACGTTCCATGAGATGTACGGGGATGGAGGGTGGTTGGTGATGTTGATCAGCGTGGCCGACAGCGAGGAAGGAGGCATGCGGTCGAGAACCGAATCGTTATCAGCATCGCCCAACACCCAGCTCTGATCCGGTTGTCCGTCAGGGTTCATGCCCCAGATATTCAACTGAGCCACCGCGGGCCACTCGGCCGTGAAGTGATACTTCCAGAATCCCGAACCCATGTCCTGACTGACCACGTTATCCAAGCCGGAATCGTACCCGTACTGGTTGTAAGGCCCGTTCCAAAAGATATGGGGGAAACGACGAGGCACCATGTGGTCCCAATCCGCATCGCCCTCCTGCACGTAATCGCTGCTACCGGTCCAGCGGCTCCAATACTCGATACGGACGTGATGGCCCTTCCACGATTGTTTCTTAGTACCGGACCAAGGGGACTCGGTAATGGTGTCGTTACCACCATAGTACGGCAGCCAGTCGGAAAAGGTAGTGCCCCAGTTGGTCGAGTACCGATATTTATCAGCACCCGCAGCGTGATGTTGGATGAAAAGACTGCCATTGTCATACTTGTGGAGCAGACTGGTCGAGTAGTTGGCCGTGGTGTGGATCATAGGGTTATCAATCTGACCGATACGGAGGAGGAAGTGGTCGATCGCGTTGGTTTGATCATCACGGGCTTTGTTGGTAACGTTGCTCACCGTCATGCGGTGGATACCGTTGTACACCCCGGTCAACGTGGCTTCCCAGACAAAGGCCGTGGGGATGTGTCCGCTCCACTCCGACTGCGTCTCGTTGATGGTGATGTTTTTGCAGGTAGCGCTGTTCTTGTCGAGCACCGGCACCTTGCCGTTCTCCGTGGACGAACTGAAGGTAATCGAGTCGGAGATTCCGTCACAGTCCATCTCCTCGTTGAAATACAGGGCAACCTTGACCTCTTCATCCTCGTTGGGGGCCACCGTCGACACAACCGGGACATCGTGTCCGGGTGTGAACTTGGTGATCATGGGCTTCGCCTTCACCCAGGACGAGCGAGGCACGTAGGCTCGGAAGGCATAGGCATCCAGCGTCATATTAGCCAAACAACCGTTATACTTAGTGGATCCATTGAACCCCTTCTTGTAAGGGCTATCGATCAGCTTCTGTTCGTCATAAGGGAAGAACAGGTTCTTGACCCAGGTGCCAGTATCATAGGGAGCCACGAGAGAGTAGTTCTCCCGGCTACAGTCGAAGGTATAGTCAATGGTACGGTTCACGTTGTGATACACCAACCAGACCGACTGGTTCGCTGCGGCGGATCCCAGGTCCTGGACCTCCGAATTGATGTCGCGCATCACCGACCAAATACCGGTCTCGGTAGCGGTTCCGTTGGAACCACGGTAAAACACCTGCTCGGTTTGGTTGGACAAAGAGCTGAGCGAGTACCCGTCGTTCAGAACCGGGAAGGCCTCGCGCAGCTGATACATGCGCTTGATGATGTTCCGGACAGGATGCGATGGATCGCGGTGGTCATAGGTCACAGTCTGATCATTGCAACCGTTGCGACCGGACTCGATGGGCCAGTTGTAATACTGCGAAGACTCCAGCGAGAAACATCCATGGTCGCGCCACGCGGTGGCAGGCGACATGGCCTGACGTCCGAAGATATAGTTGGAGGCAGTCGCATCGAGGATGTAAAAGGCCTGTTCCTCACCCCAAAGCAGGAGAGGGATACCCGGGAGAACCAGGGTGGTGACATACGTGCCCAACAACTGCCTCTGAACACCCTTTTCGACGGTCGGCCAACGGAAAACATCCTGGTTGGTGGCACCGTACATGTGCCGAGGGTCGAATACACCTGTTTGTCCAGATTAGCCTCATGCTGTCGCTGGATTGCTGCGGTTTTCGCGGTTTTCAACCACGATTCCGCAAGAGATTAGGGCTACAGCACATACCAGTGTTGGGATTGACCAGATCATTGGTCTGGGCCATCTGGTTCCAGGCGGTGACCAAATCGGGCTCCAAATCATATCCAGCCTCCAAATTACCGTCCATCCCCAGGAAACGGGTCAGGTAACGATAGATGGAGTAGTGGAAGGCGGCGCCATCAATGGCGTTCAGACCCTCCTCGCGCAGGAAATACTGAGGAGCGGACTCGTTGGTGAGCTTCATCGCGTCCTCGGCCGAAGGCCACTGGTCGGGTTGCCGACCTCGGCCCAGATAGATCGAACCAAAGGTGTTACCGCCCGTGATTTCGCCGGCAATAAAGAAGTTCTCCTTGCCCACCGCCCGAGCACACTCCCGGTATGCTGCAGACATGTCGCCCAAGGCGTCCACCGTCGATTGAGTCGCCTTATCGTACCGGAAGCCGTCGATATCCAGAGAGTAAATGATCATACACGAGTGGCGGATCAGGCGTTCGCGTACGGGGGAGTACCACTCCCGCAAACGATCCTGGACCGAGGCGAATTTGGCCAACTGACGTTCCCAATCCGGAAACACACCGAACGCCTCGACATCACCATATTGGTCAAAGTCACTATCGTAACAGCCCACCAATTGGTCCGTCACCGTCTTCTGCACGGGATATCCGTCTTCGAACCAGAACCGGGGGTAGTCGCACGTCGAGTTGTAGTCGTTGCCGATGTCGAAATCCACATACCGCCGGTCGGTCTTCCACATTGCGGGATGTTCGTGGACCGAAAACGGCGTGGTGGTGTTGAGGTACCCGTCGAATCCGATCAAGTCACCCATTCTGATCAACACAATCCCGTCAGCCTCCATCTTTTGGTCGCAAAAAAAGAAAAAAAAAAAAAAAAAAAAAAAAAAAAAAAA